AAGAGTAGAGAAGGTGAAAAAAAAAAAACAGAGAGAGAGAGAGAGAGGGAGAGTAATTCTCTTTATTGATGTATTGTTTTTTGTTGATTGTTGATATCAAATACAGTTTCTTTTTCTCTGTGTGACGCTCACTTGGATAGATTTATCTTATACGTACTTATACTTTTTTTTCTGTTAGGACGCGTGTGATTGATCCAGGTCCAACTAAAGCGTATAACTTTGCATGCCACCGAAAGTATGTAGAACTAGATTTACTATCATGTTCAAGGCAACAGTACAGAACTTTCATTAAAGTGTCCTGTTGTTGACTAGTCAGAGATGTGAGTTCTCTTTCAATATCGGCATCTGAGGCGCCCATTGTTACAAGCTCTGAAGCAATGTTGCGAATATGTGGGAATGTTAGGTTGGGAAACGGGATGTTTTCCACCTTGTCGAGAAGGGGTGCCATTCGTGACATTCCTGTTATGAGAATTTGTTTCTTCAATTTACGGTAAATAATAACGAATAGTTTTATATTTTGCGCAAATAGGACTTGACGCTTTACTGAATACGATGATTTTGATACGATATAAAATTTTGCTTTTATCTCTTTGACGACTCCTCGCTTTATGTGAAATCCTAGAGGATGTCTTTTTTTTTTTGAAAGGGAGAGCGATTGAAAAAAAGAAATAAAGGGAGAGTGATAAACAGAGATGAAAATCAAAATAGTGTTGTGTAACCTTTACAGTTTTTATTGGAAATGCAATCACGGTATTGTTGATGTTTTGAATTGTCACATTTAAAAACGTTTTTTTTCTACCGTTTTTTTTTTTTTTTTTATAGAATCAGTGTCTCCCTCCTGTATTCCTTACTGACAGTTTTGTTTACCACTATTGAAGAAAATAACAGAAAGGCATCTACCCTCCGCTACACCGATAAAAGACAAGTAGAGTGAGGGACAATCACTTCCAGAGTCCTTATAAATATAAATATGTATTACATATATATATATATTCTTTTCCTCATATCATTGTTTTCTTGCTATACGGTATAGACACCACGGTTTCTGACAAAGCATGTGGCTCACTTCTTGTTTATTGAAAAAATGGTAATATAGAAATAAACCGTGATGCCCTCATTGATCTACAACTTGTAGTGGTTTTTGGTAGACATATATACGCCAACAGAAATAAATATAGTCATGAAAACGCATTTGCGCATCCGTCCCTACTACCCTATGTAGTATTTGTAAAATCAGTAGAATTTTTGTTTTCGTCTAATTTTCTCATTTTAACTCCTGAAGAATTCAAAATAAAAAAAGATGTGACATTCTCTCTTAGCACCATTCCCACCGCTATCAGTTTTTTTTTTCTCTTTTTCTATCTCCCTTTTTGCCTCTTCCTATTATATTCCTTACTGTTTCTGCTTCATAGTTTTGTGATTTCCGTTCGTTACGTTTTTATTTCCTCCTGCTGTTCCTGCGGCGGCGGAGCCGAGCACTTTCCGTCGCTGACCCAACATGTATGAGTACAAGGTATAGCTTCCGAGTGGGTAGAGACCAAGGAGAATGAACCACACGGTATGGTAATATGAGAAGGTGAAGTTATAGCGGTTAGGCATCTCCACTGTCCACGGCTTATTTTCCTTTATGTATGGTAGTGCCTTGTAGAAGCATCCAATCTCTCCGCTGATACCAAGTGGGTAGAGAACAGTGAAGGCGGAGTACCGCAGCCAGGTGAGCGGTTGGCACTTGACACCCAGAAGATTTAAGGCATAGTATGAGTAGCGAATAAGCTCCGATACAGACCATGCTGTGACCATTTGAGTGAAAAGTGGACTCTCACGTGAGGCGGTTGGTCCAATCTCCAATGTTCCGTACACAACCAAAACTCGTGATAATACCTGTAGAAATGTTGTAGACACGGAACTGTTCACCAGACCAAGCATTGCGTGTAGTACCTCCATCATAGCACCACTTTGGAAAATGACGAGAAGTTTGGAAATTAGCGGATACACATCCCTTACGTCTCCGCCAGATAAGAGATGTTTAAGAACCTTGGCGAGGATTACCGTCCATCCTGCCAACATTGAGCCATTGTAGGCCAACAGGTATGCTTTCTTCAACATCATATGTATTTGATTAGAATTAAAAAAAAAAAAATGATATAGAAACCACTAATACAGGCTTACTGAATCATGGCGTTAAAAAAATGGGGAAAAAAATGAGTTAATATGAAAAGAAAGAGAGAAATGGGGGTGAGAAAAAGAAAAAGTTATGTCATAACAAAAATAAATAAATAAATAATCATATAGTACTTATTTTAGTGCATCTATCAACAGGAGACGTCAGAAAAGAATATTTCTTTCTTTCCTTTCTTTTTCTTTTTTTTTTTTTACTTCGTATTTAGGTTAGTGGCAATAAATAAAACAAATAAATAGTTCATCAACGTCTTCTCTTCTTGGGACCACCGCCTACTCCCATGTCACTTACAAGTCTTTGCCAATCGTTTGCATTCTGTGCTGCCACATCAGCCTCCAACTGACGTTTCGCCTGTGTACGCATTCGTTTACGCTCCAGGTTTTCAGCACGTCGTTTTGCACGTTCCTCTGGTGTAAGTGAGGGCCTCTTACGCAGTTGTTCGTAAAAACGACCCAGACGTACATGGGACAAAGGTACTTCTTTCACAGTAACCTGAATTGAACCATTTATATTATCATTACCATCTGTAGACGCATCTGTACCCTTTACCGCATTGCCAAAAGCTACAATGACAGTGTTGTCCAGAGTAAGGCGTTCCACCTTTGCTGGACGGAACTTCCCTGTAGAGGGATCAATCGCATGACATGCTACACCAGAGCGCAAAGCGCCTTCACCCTCTGCAGCCTGCGGCTGCCAAACACGCAGTTGCTCACTACATATCTCCTCTTCTATATTATAACCTAATATCCACGCTTTGTAACGAATACGGTCTAGTGGAGTTTCTGGTTTTATGACCTCTGTGATAACACAACTGTACCACGCCACTTCATCAAAATACACCTCGTATGGTGCAGTTTCCTCGTAACAAATAACCTGAGTTGAATCAGAACCAATTTTTTTCGTCAGTCCTGGAGTCTCTTCAATCACCTCAAGTGCATTGAGAGAGGTGACAGTGGCACGCAGTTCATTTCTAATTTCCTCAATGAGTGCATCGACCTCATCATCAGTTTGGTTACTCTGCTTAAGTTCCAACGCTTCTTCCAGGTTGGCCTGTAGACCTTTGTACTCCTCCAGCAACTGCTCTCGTTCCTGCATTGGAACGACTACCCTAGTTTATCCTCCCTTCCCAGAGAGTTACAAATTACTAGAAAAAACAATAAAAACAAAAAGAAGGGATAGAGAAAATAAATAAAGAAGTAGATACCAAAAAAAAAAAGAAACAAAATATCTCTTAACACACGTAACCACCGTTACAAAAAAAAAAAAAAAAACACGTAAAATCCAATCCATTCTTTACATATTGCAGGTTTTCCCTCGCTAACCATCATCACCATCACCATCACCATCACCATCATATTCTGGATTTTCCTCATCCACACCGTCGTCAGCTTCATCCTCATGAGCAGAATTGATATCACCATTCCCACCTTTCATCTTTTCTCCATCTGCGTCTTCACCTTCTTCTTCTTCTTCTCCCCGCGCCTCTAATGCGGCCTGTCGCTCACGTTCCCGCTTCTTATTCTCAAGAGACTCCAACACCTGCAATTTCTTCTTCTTCTCATTCTGCAAACGTTGTTGACGCACCTCAACAGCCTTCTCTAACTGTCTTGCCGTTTCTAAAGACCTATTAGACTGACAAATAAAATCGGCAGTAACTTTTGGAAAACCAGGAACCTCTTGTAGTATATCGACACCATTTCTAACGAGGTACTCCACTGCATGATGTGAGCGACCAAGAACGGCCCAATGAAGTGGAGCTGCCGCATACTGACTACGTCGGCTCACTTTGAAATGTGGTTGAAGACTACCATCCTTCTCCTGTTCTTCCACACGAAAGAGAAACCCGTACTGCTCACCCGTTTCAAGGGTTTTTAACAGTCCTGTGGTACTAAGCAGAGCTGCGATCATCTCCCGTCGTTTTTCCAACTTTTCCAAACGTCGAAGGAAATCACGTTCTTCCTCCATTTCTTCTTCATCACTTTCAGCACCGAGGTCTTGCTCCTCTTCCTCTTCCTCATCGCCGCCTTGAATAGAAGCATGTACAATTTGCTTAATGCGCTCTACATCATCGTAGTATGCCGCAGTGCAAATATCACGTGAACGCATTAATTCCATGGTTGCGTAGAAATACGTATATTTGTATATGCGTATATGTGTCCTCTTTCTATACACTATATTTGCTAACTCATAAAAAGTTGAGTGAACCACGTAAATGCAAGTGTTTGTGGTTGTGATGAAACAAGTAGAAAAAAAAAAAGAGACACATATATACATATACATTTATATCCAATAAGCGAAAATCAAATGAAACGAAACAAAAAAAAAAAAATAATAATTAATGATAAAAAATATATATAAAAAGATGTCTCATCACTAATTTTACTATGCTGGCGGTGCACGTCGCGACATTAACACCCTTTGCATGGCTTCACGTGAAGCAAGATTTCCTGCCAGTTCCATCCTCTCTGCCATCATCATTTGATATTGAGGATTGTCCTCAAGGGAGAAAGTATCATTGTGATTAACCACTGTTGAATATTGCGATAGTACAGCAAGCTTGAAAATCAGCCCACCAAAAAGCAGTGCACAACAGATATATGCATTCCGCTTTGCACCATGAAACCCCACCATCTCTTCATAGACAGTAAAAGGTTTGTAGTACGCACGGGGCATTGTGGAAGAGTTTTCTCTCTTCCTCCTACGATAACCAAAAGGAAAAAAATGAAGGGATAACCGAAACAAAAAAAGAAAAATGAAAATAAAAATCTTATTCGAAAATACATAATTTTGTATGCATATATACATAAAAAGGTATAATATGGGAAATTTCTTCTATGAATTCATTTATGGAAAAAAAAAAAAGAAAAGCAGTCACACATTGTATTCATGAACACAAGTACGGGAAAGAAAAGTAGGGAGGAGAAAAAAAATGCATATTAAGATAACACTCTCGACGTGTAATCGATATGCTAAACGCCTTTTGTTGTGATCCCCATCACACCTCTAAGAGTAATATATATATATATATATAT